CCAGGAGGTAATTCTGCCAGGGTCCTGTTAGAAGTTGGAGCTTCTAAGCAGTGGTGAAATTGAAAAATTTCCCCTACCGGTTCTGTGGGCGTGGCTTTTTGGGGGGAGTTCATGTGACCGGGTGGACATGGCCAACTCAACATCATTCACATCGAGGGGCTCCTCACCGGCCCCTCCTCTCCCAGCCACTCCTTGTCCCGAATGGCAGGAAAATGGGGAGGGGAATATTCCTACCTACCATCCTTACCTCAGTCTGTGCTGAGATTGAGGAATGGATGACAGGCAGGAAAATCCCCTTCCCCATTTTCCTGCCTTTCACGAAAATGGCTCCATTCTAGCTGTGGCAGAGAGAATGCTAACTTTTCTCCCTCCATTAAGAGCGGAACTGCTACTCCCTTTATGGCCCCCTCCCTCCTGGGGACTACCTTAAAGGGACAAACTGCAGCAGCTCCATTTTGAATGGAGGGAGAAAAGTTAGTATTCTCTCTGCTGCATTTAATATTGAATTCTGTGGAATATCGAGTGGCTGAAAGAGGTGAATGGCGACTGGCCGGGCGTGGGGTGATTACTACCAGTTCAGCGAACTGATGCCAATAAACCCTAGCGGTTCGCCCGAACTGGTCCGAACCGGTAAGATTTCACCCTTGCTTCTAAGGAAGATGCTAAGAGCTGGAATGCAGAGAATGTCAACATGCAATCATGTTCAACAGCTATTCAAGGGAGCGTGGGAAAAGAGAGACCAAGGAGCTTGAAGCTTTGAAGCAGGAAAAGCTATATAACGTTCTATATCAGAAGTCTCCAAAGTTGGCATCTTTAAGACTTGTGGACTTCCAACTCCCAGATTTCCCCAGCCAACATGGCTGGCTGGGGAATCCTGGGAATTGAAATCCACAAGTCTTAAAGTTGCCAAGTTTGAGATCCCTGTCCTTTACTATCTCTCTTTGCTCAGTGTGTGTGTCTTCCTTTCCTGAAAACAAGAATCCTTACACTGTTCTGGACCATGTAACTGGGGAGTATATTGTCCAGTTCTGCAAGCCCTTCGAAGTGGGCAGGATCAAGGAACAGACATGGCAAGAAACCCAGAAATATTTTACAGCTGTCTTGAAAGCTTGTTCTGAACTTTCACCATCCCTTCTGAAGGACCATACAGCTTCTTTCTCATACTTTCTACTTTCCCAGGGCTGACTCATTGTCTTCCCTTTTCCTCCTTCAAGATCAGAACTAAATTCCTTTAACCACTTCCTCTCATTTCAGGGGAATTTGACATCAGACATGGGTTAGCCCAATTTGTAAATTCAACCCACAGGCTAAAAATCTAGGCTGGAGGAATCAAGATTTCAGATAAATTCAAGGCTGCTTCCAATTCTAGCAGCTCATGATGTGCAAATCCATGCTGGTAAATACCCGAGTCATGAGATGTAGAAGTAATCCCCAATTTTAATTCTGCAACTCAAGGTAGCTTTGCCCAAACTTGATGCAAAATAGGAGGAGAAAGGCAGGCAGCTTCCTTCATCTCCACCCATTATCTGCCCTTGACAAGGATCCCAGAAGAGAGAGGCAGGAAGGCAATAATAAACTGGCTCAACCAGATTCTTCTTTCTCCCGGCCCTCCCCCATAATCACAACAGCCACCAACTGTCCAAGTTTCAAAAGATGCTGTTGTTTGTAGGAGGCCCTTTCAACGATATTCATTGCGGTTTTATTGACCCTTATTTACACTGCTTGCAAACTGCTTTGGGAGGATAGCTATCTAAACGGCAGGATATAAGATAGCTAACAACAAAGATAACCACCAAGGTGAGAGGGAGTCAAACTATTCTCCAAAGCACCTGAAAGCAGAACAAGAAGCAATGGGTGGAAACTAATCAAGGAGAGAAGCAACTTAGAACTAAGGAGAAATTTCCTGACAGTGAGAACAATTAATCAGTGGAACAAATTGCCTGCAGAAGTTGTGAATGCTCCAACGCTGGAAGTTCTTAAGATAAATTTGGAAAACCATTTGTCTGAAATAGTATAAGGCAGGGCTCTGCAACCTTAAATACTCAAAGAGCCACTTGGACCCATTTCCCACAGAAAAGAAAACACCGGGAGCCACAAAACCTGGGTGGGTGTGGCCAACTCATCACTCACTTCTACCAGTCACATGACCCCCCCCTAGCCACGCCTACCCAGTCTGTCATCAGGGCAGAGAACCAGTTGTTAAAAAAACACCGGGAATCACAAAATCCTTTTGATCTCTCTCTCTCTCTCCCCACCCCCCTCTGTGTCTCTCTATGTCGGTCTCTCTCCCACTCTCTCTGTATCTCTCTGTCTCTGCCCTGGCTGCTTCTCCATCCCCCGCCGTCGCCCTTACCTTCTCAGGCCAGGCGAGGAGTGACTGGGAGGGGAGGGAGAGGGGCGGGGCCAGCCAGTGGTGGGATCACTTGACATGGAGCCACAGCAGAGGGCCCAAAGAGCCGCATGCGGCTCTGGAGCCGCAGGTTGCTGACACCTGGTATAGAGTTTCTTGCCTGAGCAGTGGGTTGGACTAGAAGACCTCCAAGGTCCCTTCCAACTCTGTTATTCTGTTTTGTTATCCTGTTATTCTTTCTGTATCCATCCCATCGAGCCCAAAGGAAGTCCAAAATGGCATAGGACCACCTGCTATGGGTAGTGGGTTGGACTAAAGACCCACCAGGCCCTTTCCAACTCTATTATTCTATGTTCTAATCAGTGGTGGGATTCAAAAATTTTTACTACCAGTTCTGTGGGCGTGGCTTGGTGTGGCGTGGCAGGCGTGGCAGGGGAAGGATACTGTAAAATCTCCATTTCCACCCTCCCCCACTATCTGTTTTCCAGCTCCGTTCTCCTGTGCAGGGCAACAAAAGATGACCCAGCCAATCAGCTAGGACTCCGATCAGCTGGGACTCAGGAGGCAGTGAATATCAGGGATGGGGCCAGTCAGAGGTGGTATTTGCCGGTTTTCTGAACTACTCAAAATTTCCGCTACCAGTTCGCCAGAACAGGTCAGAACCAGCTGAATCCCACCTCTGGTTCTAATGTCACCTGTCATTTTCTCGCCCTCTCCATCCTCAAATGAAGAGCCCCTGCTCATTTCACAATTGGGGTCACCCGGTCATGAGACAACATCTGCTTGAGACATGCGGAAGAGGAAGAAAGGCAGTGAATGAACCCAGATAACACTCACACAGAAGTCCTGGATTGTTTCATCATTTGGCACCACCTGTTTTTGCTCTTTTGCATGAGGCATTGTGGTGTTACTGTCTCCATAGCTGTTTCTGTCAGCCTCCCAAGCAGACCAGACAGGAAATACGACAAGGTGAGCTAATTCTACTTTATTATAAGGCTGCAATAACAGAATCTTGCAAGTCTGAAAGAATAAATCTCCTGCCACCATTTCTTTTTACTGCCGAATAAGATAAGGGTGGTTCTTTTCTAAATTTCTCTGCTCGTTGTTCAGCTGCAGGCTGCCTCCTTATCTGATCATCCTCTAGGCAGCATTTTTTAATTCCCCTTCCAAGGTCATTTTCACATACCATTGAAGTTTTTATTTACCCCCAAAACTACAGCTGCATCAACAGTCTCCTAATCCATTTTTGTAGAATAAGCCATAATTGGCTGTGAAGACCTTGCTAAACTGTAAACCACAGTTAACCACAAGTTAAATCAGTAGGGAGACCCTACTGATTTAAAAGCAAAAATACCACATTACATGGCATCATATTCCTGGCCGTGTCTGTGCCTGTAAATTTAATCTAGATTTTACTTAATACTGAGCTGGACACAATTCCTGGTCATTGCATGGATAAATACTTGCTATCATTTCCCTTTTGTTATGTGTATAAATCTTATGATGTATAGATTTTTTTCTACTCATCCACTTGCACTATGTGTCCAAAGTATTCAAATTTATGTCTGCTAATCAAAAACTTAACTGTTCTGGGCAGACTAGTTTGACTTGCAGTCCATGGTTTTCTTAGTAATTATACATTTAATCTATACAGTAGTCCTCAACCATTTTTTTTTTAAATTTGATTTATATGCCGTCCTTCTCCAGAGACTCAGGACGGCTTACAATGCGTTAAGCAATAGCCTTCATACTTTTGTATATTTATACAAAGTCAGCTTATTGCCCCCACAAACTGGGTCCTCAATTTACCTACCTTAGAAAGGATGGAAGGCTGAGTCAACCTTGAGCCTGGTGAGATTCGAACCAGCAGTAATTGCAGGCAGCTGTGTTAATAACAGGGCTTAGACCACTGTACTATCAAGGCTCTTATTTGAAGTTACAACAGATCCTATAGTCATGTAATGAAAATTCAGGTAGTTAGTAACTGACATATATGTACAAGGTCGCAGGGTCCTGTAATTGTCATTCATGACCTGCCTAGTCGACTCCCGACAAGCAAAGATAATAGGGGAAGCCAGATGTCCTTAAGCATGATTAATTTAACTTCTGTGATTCGCTTAACAACTGCCTTATTTAGCAATAGAAAATCTGGTCCAATTGTGGTTGGGCAGGATCTAGTGTCTTCTTTCTTTTAAAAACAGAAGTTGTGTAGTTTCCTTTTGAAAAATACAACATTGCTACTTTTTCTTCTGTTTGTTTCAACAAATAGAAGAACAAGTGGAAATGTTGTATTTGTCAAAAGGAAACTTCACAACTTCTGTTTTTAATAAGAAGGAAGATACTAGATCTTGCCCAAGTTTTATATATAGGTAATCCTTGGTTTACGACCACAACTGGACCAGATTTTCTATTGCTAAACAAGGCAGTTGTTAAGTGAATGACTGAAGTGTATTAGGTAATTGTTAAGCGAATCCAGCTTCCCCATTATCTTTGCTTTACCAGATTTTTCAAATCACACGTTTTTTTATTGCTTTCTTTTTCTTGCACTCCATTCTCATAAATTATAATCAATAACAATTTTTTCTACTTACAGAAATGAAGAAAATAGAAAAACCCAGGAAGAATTAGGAAACATTTCAAAGTTATTTACCTTGTTAATCATTCATGTTTTTGCTTTTTCCAGGTATTAGCAAGGCAGATGGTCCTTCACGAAGACCTGTTGAAAAATCGATGTGAGATTTTTAAAAAGATAAGACATGCCAATTGTCAGGGCCTGCAAAACAAAGCCATTATTCCTCCTTAACTATAAATTTAAATGCATTCACAATATATACCTGATCATTAGATAATGTTTGTTATAATTTCAGTATCTCAGGAGCTGCCACAAAGAAGAGGGAGTCAACCTATTCTCCAAAGCAACTGAGGGCAGGACAAAAAACAATGGGGTGGAAACTAATCAAGGAGAGAAGCAACTTAGAACTAAGGAGAAATTTCCTGACAGTTAGAACAATTCATCAGTGGAACAGCTTGCCTCCAGAAGTTGTGAATGCTCCAACACTGGAAGTTTTTAAGAAGAGATTGGAAAACTATTTGTCTGAAATGGAATAGCGTTTCCTGCCTAAGAAGGGGGTTGGACTAGAAGACCTCCAAGGTCCCTTCCAACTCTGTTATTCTATTCTTACCAATAGGCAAATATTTCTTTTCCATGCACAGAAAACGGATCCCACTACAATGCACGAAAATTCTGTAAGACAGTGCATGCCACACAATGAAAAATAGCCATGACAAAAGTTAAGTAATCTTTTAGGGTTGATTTTCCATATTATGCTGAAGTTCCTTTCCCTTGACTCAGATCAGCTTCGGAAACACAAATACAAACTTGTTTTGAATCTGAATATTATAGCCTTCTCTTTTATCACGCCACAAACGTGGTTTAAAACAGCAATTTCCCTCTCCATAACTACACCCCTGGTACTCCCTCCGCATAATTGCTTCACAACCTCAGTGCAAAATATAATGTGCAGCTAAACACCTTGGGTGATCAGGCCAGCTGAGCAAAACGGAATCTAAAATGTACCCAAGTTTTTTTAATAGTCACGTTTTGTTACACATCAAACTAAACTTTAGGCTGTTTGAATAACAGGTCAGCCGAAGGTAATGCTATTTTAGCTCCCAATACCAGTGTTTGTGGCCGAGGTTTGCTGTTGGCTGACTTTGCTTTTGCGATGTTGTCAGAAAGTGCACAGACCGATGTCTGCATGAGCAAAAAGGTCAGTCAGCAAAAAGAAAACACCAAGCGAATGCAACACTGATAACTGGGAACGTATCAGGGAGGTTGATCTTTTCACAGAAGCTTTCAAAAATTATGTTGCAAGCTGCCATTAGAATCGCATTAAAGATGAGCCTCTGTGGCGCAGTGGTTAGAATGCAGTACTGCAGGCTACTTCTGCTGACTGCCGGGAATTCGGCAGTTCAAATCTCACCAGGCTCAAGGTTGACTCAGCCTTCCATCCTTCCAAGGTGGGTAAAATGAGGACCCAGATTGTTGGGGGCAACAGGCTGACTGTAAAACTGCTTAGAGAGGGCTGTAAAGCTATATAAAAATGCTATTGATATTGCTACTTCAATGATCCAGGTTATTAAAGCAGCAGCATCTTATTTCAGGGTCTGGTGGAGGCTCCCACACAGACCTTCCTGTTTTAATGAAGAGAAAGTTAGCTGCATTCACACAGGTTCCAAAATCATTTCAAATCTCATATGATGAATGCACAGCTCTGAAACAGGCACACTCCTTACTCTGTGACAAGTTAGCCGATAGGCAGAGAAATTGTATTTCTATTAAACTAACACCCTAAGAACAATCATTTTGTAAATCCATTCCCAACCTATGCAAGAGGGGAAGAAAAAAAAACTTTAGCAAATGCACCCAACCGCCTTCAACTTTTGCAACTTTGGAAAACGTTGGGATATTCTTTACAAACTTTCTCCCCTTTTCGACTACTTTATCTACATTTCTTTCCCACTTCTTCTTCTTCCTTAACTCCAAATCGGCACCCGCTTTAATTCTGCTTTAATACATCAAATTAAAAAAATGATTTTAAAAAAGGAAAACGGAATGCAGAGCCTCCTTAAAAAAAAAAAAAAAAATTTCTCTGCTGCACCAAATTTGCTGTTGCACCTTTAAGTGCAATAAAAATAATAAAATGTAATAGCAACCGAATGGACGAGCTGGGAAGTTACCCTTTCAACTTGAGAGCTTCCAAACTTCGAAGAGTTCCTTGGAAACTCCCGGAACCAGGTTCCGTTTCTGAACCAGCGCCGATCCGAATTGCACCAATTCAATGGCTGATCCCGTTTACACGACACTCCCTTGATAAACACCATAGATAAAAGAAATAACCCACGCTTAAAAACCAAAACAAGCCAACCAACCCTGTATTTTTTTTTCTCTCTCTCTCCAGGCGATAAAGAGGTTCACTTGCTGACTTCCTGCACGCTGAAGCCACCGCGAAAAGAGTAAAAAAAAACCTGCTTTTCTCTCCTTGCAAATTAATTACATTCCGGTTTGAGGCGTTTAAGAAGCAGCAGCAGCTGCTGGACTTCCAGTATGGCAAGGCAAAAGCGAGGCTTCAATAGAAGCTTGACTCCGCCCCTGGAACGCACAGCCATTGGCTGCAGCGGGAGGCGTGAGAGGGTCTTCAGGGAGCTGAATGGCGGGCCGGGGTGGCAAAGCCACGCCCCATCCCGCGCCACTGGCTAAGTCGCGTGGGGCTTTTCCAGCTGGGTTCTGCTTGCCTCACCCCTAGCGGCCGTTCGGAGTTTTGCACCCTCAACCAGGAATGCAACGGAATCCGCCCAGAACACGGGTTTCTTAGAACGTGTGAATGGGCACTATAGAACGTTTTCGGGGGTTTTATGGGATGCGGGCCTCCCCAGGAAATAAAATGCGAACCCGTATGTTCTCAGGGCGAAGCATCCACGCTTGTATCACCTTAGGAAGACTTTAAAAAAATAAAAAGACGTACCTCGTGTCGGGTGAGCCTGCCTGCTAAGCAACCGGGAGCCGTGTGAGTTACTCGGGAGGCGAGGCAAAGCGCTCCTCCTCTCCTCTACGGGAAATGACAGCGAGCCCAACCCCAAACTCGCTTCCTCTAGAAGAGATAGAATCATCAACCCTCCCCGCGTCGTGGGGAGGTGCTTGACCCGGGAGCCTCCCAGACTGGGAGATTCCCCCCACGCCGGTTTAGCCCGCGTTTCCTTAACAAGCCTAGATGAAGTCGGTTTGCACACCGGGTCAACCCCTAACCCCACGCCCAGCCATCAGAGCCCCGTTTTCCCAAAGTCAAAAACCCAACAACCCCAGGACCGCAGCGCCTGCAAACACGGAAAGCTCCACGTGCGCGCAAGTACCCACGTTCTCCAAAGCCGCGTGTCGACCCGTTTGGCTCTTGCGGCTGGTTTTTTTTTGGTGGGGGTTGGAGAAGCCGGCAAGGAGCAGCCCCGTTTGGATTCATACGACCCGCCCTCTGCCCGGCCTCGCTTGTCCTCGGATGGCCTCACCGGGCTGCCGCCTCTGCGATCATAAGCCGGGTTGCCCTCGGCGAAGGCGGGGTGGAAAGGCAAGGCTTGGTGGTGGCCGCCGGCTTTCTGGCGGATTCCGACGTTGCACGAGACAGAGAAAAGAAGAACACGCAAGCTTGTTTCCCGGCGGGTGACCAGAGATATTTTCAGCGCCTTGCAAAAGCCAGCTTCTCCGGCCCTACTCCTTGCGAATGACCTAGGCAAGGCTACTTCTTTAAAGGGATTTTGGATATGGTCATAAAACTAATCCATGAATAAACTCTTCTCGCTTTTAAAGGTCGTTTGGGTAGGAATTCACGGAGGAACTAAATCCAGAAAATCCATTTTTTTTTAGGCAAGAAGGAGCGAGAATGTTGATAGTGCATGGAAAAAAACCCAGGTTGACGTTTGTCACGTTTTCTGCTGCAAGCCTTTCCAAATTAGAGGCTGGGTTTTTTCCATCCTAAATCAAGGTTTACTTGATCTACTCCTCTGGACTGTTATAAATGTCAGTGAGTTGGTCATTTTTGGAACTAATAGGTGTAGTTCCCTATTTATATTTAGGGGAAATGCCAAATGACAAAATGCATCTCTAAAAACAAAACAAAACTTGAGCACCAAAATTCTTTTTTAAAAAGATGTTGAATGACACCCTGTGGATATTTTCAGTTATAATCTGTTAAAAAGATGATGGACTACAAACCTCCGGAGAGCCATTTGGTTTTAAAAAGCCCTACTTGCTGTTGTAACATCTGTAGTAAAGAGTGAGTAGGTCTACAGTGTGGATTTTTGACCGCACTTGGAAAAGGATGTCCAAGAGGTCAAGACCAGTGGTTCTCAACCTGTGGGTCGCAACCCCTTTGGGGGGTCGAACGACCTTTTCACAGGGGTCACCTAAGACCATCGGAAAACACATATTTTCAATGGTTTTAGGAGTAATTTTATGGTTGGGGGGTCACCACAACATGAGGAACTGTATTAAAGGGTCGCGGCATTAGTAAGATTGAGAACCACTAGTCAAGACGCTTCCGATTTAATCTCAGTCATTACAAGAGTCCAGCTACTACTGTGAATAATAATCATCACAATATACAAAACTCCTCCTAAGCATATTGATTTGCTAAAAAACCATTGGCAATGTCCATTTTGCTCTCCGAATTCATGGAGACCTAAGCCTAACCCTAAGTCAGTGGTGAAATTCAATTTTTTTTTACTACCGGTTCTGTGCGCGTGGCTTGTTGGGTGTGGCAGGGGAAGGAGACTGCAAAATCTCCATTCCCACCCCACTCTGGGACCAGCCAGAGGTGGTATTTGCCAGTTCTCTGAACTACTCAAATTTTCCGCTATCAGTACTCCAGAACCTGTCAGAACCTGCTGGATTTCACCCCTGCCCTAAGTGGATTTTACTCCAATGGGATTTTCCCATGTATTTCACCTGGAAACATAAATAGGGTGGCATTAAAAAGTCTGTACCCTCCTAAGCCTACTGATGTGCTAGGAATCCATTGGCAATGTCCATTTTGCTGTCCAAATTACCTTAACCCTAAATGGATTGCCCCCCCCCCAATGGGATTTTCCTATGTATTTTACCAGGAAACTGTCAATAGAAATAGAATGACTATGGCAAAAAAAAAAAGCAAAAATAGTACAATAGGTGCTTTGCAACCAAAACAATCTGGAGCTGCACTTGAATGCTGCCAGCATTGACACAATCACCATCAGTCAACATCAAAAGGCAGCTTTACTTGGGACAGCTTACATCTCACCATGATACCTTTAGTATTATTAAACAAGAACTTTTATCGCAGGTCCTTGAGAAGCACTTGGTAGGTGGACATATGTGCCAAATCCAGTCTAAACCTCTCCCCGACTGTGTGAGGAGCATAATAATTTAAATTTTGCATTGTCAAATGATTTGGGGGAGGGTGACTTTACAATAAAGTTGTGAAAATTTGGGATATTCTCTATTCTTGTAAAAAAAAAAAAAAAAAGAACAGAGAATACCCCAATACTTGAGCCAATGGGGAATTCAGGGTCCTGTATGAGTCTGAACTCATAGTTTATTTATTTATTTATTTTATTTATTATCGGACTTATAGGCCGCCCTTTCTCCACTAGGACTCAGGGCGGCTCACAGCAATAAACAACAAGAAGTCCAATTAAAATTCAACAATAAAAACTAAAATTCTCATTAAAACCCCAGTCAGTCCAGGCCGGCTTGGCGAAACAGGCATGTTTTAAGGTCACGGCGAAAGGAGCGAAGGTCGGGGGCTACCCGGAGCTTCAAGGGGAGCTGGTTCCAGAGGGTAGGTGCGCCCACAGAGAAGGCTCGCCCCCTAGGGGCCGTCAGCTGACATTGTTTGGCCGACGGAACCCCAAGTACGCCCTTTCTATGTGAGCGCACAGGGCGATGGGGAGCTGTTGTTGGAGTTAATGATAGATGACATTTACTGTTTGGAAAGCCTTAGACTAAATCACGAGCTTTACATTAAAGAAGGAAAACAGGTTCCTGTGTAAGTTTTGAAGAACCATCATTAGTGGTTTGATTTGTTGGGTTAAGGTTCAGTGAAATGTGTAAACTCGGCATTTTGAAACTTATTTAAGAAAACATGGCTGCCACAAGGAAGAGGGGGCCAACTTACTCACCCAAGCACTCTAGGCAGGACAAGAAACAATGGATGGAAACTCGCCAAGAAGAGAAGCAACCTAGAACTAAGGAGAACATTTCTAACAGGGAGAACAATTAACCAGTGGAACAAATTATTTTCGGAAATTGTGGATGCCCCAATACTGGAGGTTTTTAAGAAAAGATTTAAATAGTATCTATCAGAAATAGTATAGGTCTCTTGCAAGAGCATGGCGTTGGAGTAGAAGACCTCCAGGGTCCCTTCCAACTTTGTTAGCTGTTGCTATCTAGGAATGAATGGAATGGGATGAATGAATGAATGAATGGGTGGTTTTCAAACTGACAGCATCCCTCTCTATTATCCTTGCTGGTTAGGACCAAGTTGGGAGTTTTAGATAAGCAGCATTTTTGAAGGACTATGGTTCTCTATCCTTGGCAAACATCTTCAAAAAGGATTGTCTGAAGCAGAAAAATATAGCATGAAGGGCAATGAAGTTCGAGCAAAGCATTGAAGTATTGACGGCTTTAGTCAAGCACAAATTTTCTATTGCTTATTTTAGGCTTTGCGGCTATAAAAGCATATCAGAGGGCAGCTAATACTGATGGCGGTGAAAAATATATTTCCTTTTAACACCCATTAATTTTCAGGTAGAAACATTGAAGGACTTTTCATCCTGGTTTCCTAAATTATCCAACTATTTTTTTTTACCGTGGGTGACAGGTAATGTGAACATAAAATGATTTTAGTTCTCCAAAATGAACTAGAGGAAGGAAGGAAGGAAGGAAGGAAGGAAGGAAGGCAGGCAGGCAGGCAGGCAGGCAGGTTCAGGTTCTTAAAAGCCTCTTCTGTGGAGGTCTGGAGTGGTATGGATGCTTTTCAAGATATCTTGAAATAGAATCATGTCAAAGTCAATAGATGTCCTGTAGCCATCTTGCATTTTACAGCCTTGGATGAAAATCAGTCTTAAGTCCGCTGATTTTAGAAACGCTCTTTATGTTCTTCCTTCTCCTTTTCATTCATTCTTTTTATACCCTGAAGGACGCGCGAACGACCCTTCCCTTAAGAGGCTGAGGGGGCCGAAAATTATTCACCATTGGGATTTTTTCATCTTCCTCTGTCGTAAAAAGAAGACTTCTGAATTTCTCCATCTGTAAACACATATGAGACGGCATTACCGCTAGAAACACAATCTATTAACAACACTAACAAGCAAATAATACTAAAGAAAACGGAGCACTTTCATCATTTTTTATTTCGTTCTGTTCATCCAGTCATACTCATAACTAGGCTATTCCATCCAAAGTTATTGGGGGGGCCGTTGGCAGGGGTGTAATCCATCAGGTTCTGACAGGTTCTGAAGAACCGGTAGCGGAAATTTTGAGTAGTTCAGAGAACTGGCAAACACCACCTCTGGCTGGCCCCAGAGTAGGGTGGGAATGGAGATTTTGCAATATCCTTCCCCCAGGAGTGGAATGGGAATGGAGATTTTGCAGTATCCTTCCCCTGCCATGCCCACCAAGCCACACCACCCCCCACCAAACCACGCCCACAGAACCGGTAGTAAAAAAAAATGGATTCACCACTGGGGGGGTGGGGTTTGCAACAGGTTTGCAAAATTTGATCTTAAACAATTAAAGCATCCTAGCAGCCAAAGAAATACAAAAATCTACATGTTAGTACAATGTACACACAATGCTTTTAAATCTGAGATACAGCAACCTACAAAAATCGAAATGCATATAAGGCCTAAGTACTGTAGTTAAAGAGGAAAACAATTTCACTGGAAACACAACGTAACCCAGCTTAACGACAATCAAAACGTAAGTCCTTACCTAATGCTTAAAAGACTTTATTTTTCTCTTAAAGATTACATTTTGAAATAATGAGAATAATTTAACAGGTATACAATCCATTTTTACTACCGGAGCTTTCGGAGGGTGAAAAAGCAAAGCACAGAGGCCAAAATGGCAACCCAGACACAGCTGCTGGTTGCCGGGCTGGTTCACAGTTGCCGGACTGGTTCTGTGCTTCCCGTTGTACTCACTGGAGCACCCTGCGACGATCAGCTGCATTTTTGAAGCTGCGTTTCTGCCCCAACAAGGCGCTTGTGCGCTCACAACCAGCGAACCTGTTGCTAAAGTTCACCTCTGGGGACAGCTGATTGGGAGTATTCCGGGAGGCCACATCCACCCGCCAATCAGCTGCTGGTGCTGAATCAGGCTACAATAACATGCTGAAGCTGACCAGGCTGTTTGCCAAGGATGCTAGCCAGATGAATACCGATCAATGCTGGTAGGCAGAGACAGAATGTTTTTTTTCTTATTTTCCTCCCTCAAAACCCCGCCATCACTCTGCTAAACAAATAATTCCCTCAACACTGTCAAACTAGTTACTAAGTTTGCATTACTATTAATCTACTCATTGTTCCTATCACCCATTTCCTCCCACTTTATGACTGTAACCTTGTTGCTAGTATTCTTAAGATTTATATTGACTGTTTCCTAATATGATTTGATTGCTCATTTGTACACTATGACTATCATTAAGTGTTGTACCTTATGATTCTTGACGAATGTATCTTTTATGTACTCCGAGAGCGTATGCACCAAGACAAATTCCTTATGTGTCCAATCACACTTGACCAATAAAGATTCTATTCTAAGGGGCAACTAATACTCCGGAGCGTCTTATACTCTGAAAAATAGGGTACCTAAAAATCCCTCTCCAAAATGATGATAATTTTTAAAACCATGGAGGAAAAAAATCCATTTATCTGGATAGGATACCTAAATCTTTTGCAGCTTTGTTGCTGAAAGTGCTTTTCCAGGAGAATAAATGTGTGTGTTTTTTTTAAATACAGCATTTTCTTCTGATAACTATCGGGAAGAATATTTTCCTTAAACATCGGACAACTACATTCTCATCACTCACCCGCAAGATTTACCTGTTTCTCTGATATTTGGATCGCTTCCTTCAGTACTATCCAGGTTACACTCTCATGAAGTGGTGGTGTTGTCAAAGATCCGGCATAAGTCCAGTACTTTTTGCCAGCAGGAAGCAGAGTGCTTGGGTTGAAAGATCTGAATTCAGCTTTTGTTCCCTAGGAGAAGTTTCAACAGGAAGGAGAACATTTGACATTTGGGATTTAAAAATAAAATAAAATTAAGAAACAGCTTCACCAGAAAAAGCAATTACTGTATGTTTGGAAGAGTTAGCGGTAAAAGGAAACCAGGCCTCCAAAGGAAAGACACTGTGGCTGAACACCCTCAAAGCTGACACCAGTCAAATCAGGGGTCGGCAACCTTAAACACTCAAAGAGCCTCAAAGGTCCTAACCGGAAGCCCCCATTCAATTCTGGAGGTGACTGGAAGTCTGGTTCCCCCACCATAGAGACTCGTCCTAGCGTGGCGTCCTTTTTCCTCTGCCGACTGGAAGTCGATTCCCCCCACCATAGAATCTCCTCCTAGCATGGCATCCTTTTTCCTCTGCCAACTGGAGATCATTTTCCCCCACCATAGAGTCTCCTCCTAGCCCAGCATCCTTTTTCCTCTATCTGTCCTAACCGAAAGCCCTATCAATTGTGGAGCTGACCAGCAACAGGGAGCTGCAGCAGAGGGATGAAAGAGCCACATACGGCTCCACAGTTGCGGGTTGCTGACCCCTGAGCCAGATCATAGAAAAATTCAAAGAAGTAGTACAAGATCAGAAGACGTGGAGAGATCTGGTTCACAGAAATGCCAAGAGTCAGACATGACTGAAGGGATAACATCCTCCTCCTCATCATCATCATCATTATCAAAAGACGACTAAAGATGCAAACGAAAATGATTTTTTTAAAAAAAAAACTCTTGGAAACTACGAAAAACAAAAACAAGACAAGCAAAACCCCCAAAGCACTAACAGAACTAAAAAGTTGCTTTCATGCTGAACTGATGAATAAAAAGAGACACAAAATGGATCTGAGATATGAAATGATCTAAGAAAAAAACACAAAACCAGATTCCTTACCAGAAGCCCACTGTAATTTTTTTTTTTTGCTCTGAAAGCTTAAAAGAATTTTATAAAAGTTAGAAAACTTGGGGGTTTTTTTGCATGAATAATGTAATATAATTCACATCCAGGCTCCAAAATAAATAAAAAAACCCAATGCCATAGGTGTCAGTTTTGTATTATGATGATACAGCTAAAAGAATACTTGAAGCAGGTGCATACAATCTTGAGCATCAAGATAAATATATAGACATGCACACTTCTATAAATATTACAGTTTGCACAGTTTAACTGGATTTAACTTCCATAATTCACTTAAGCACAATTATTTCCATAGGTTACTTCCAAGGGCATTAATTCTGGATTCAATTAAAGTGCCCAGCAGAACCCAAGTATAATATCCCTTCCTCTTGTTATCACAAAACTTAATCTTTCTGGTCTATGCAAGAGATGTGCAGCGTATTGGATTTGATTCCGTAAACTTGCTTGGAGAAGGCAGGGCCACAAATGTAGCATCTGTATGAGCTCCATGGAATAACTGTATCCTTTTCTAGGATTGTGTACAATCCCAGGAAAAGATGCTGTTGCTTTGAAGAGTTCCAGTTGGTTGCCATGTCTCAACCTTCATGAACTCTAAAGCACCTATTCAAGTCTAATTCCTCCTTAGAAGTAGTACTGAGGAAAGACAGTAGAAGGAAAACTCCAATATCTACTTTAGAATTTTATTATATGTTTGTGTGATTTGTCTCTCCCTTTTTTCCCTATCACATATCAGGTTCTGTTGTAAAGTTAGATATTAAGCTTCAGTAGAGTTTGAACTAGGTCAAAATTGGATTGATAGTTTGTAGTTTAAAATACAATGGAAACCCATCCATTCAACTCTGCATGCTGTTTGAATCAGACCATTACACGAAACCTTGATTGTTTTGTAGGAGACAGTAGACATCCTTCTGAAGATGTCTTCTTCCTTCTGAAGACTAGAAGTTCTAGAGGAGTTCTGATTTGATTCCAACTGTGGGTGGAGTTTGTCCACAGGGAGCCTTGGAAGAAACAGATTATCTGGATCTCTTCCGGTGATATTGCAGACCAAGGCATATCTTACCACTGACTCAAAATGTCCATAAAAGAAGGGTGAACATAACAGACAAAAAAACCCAATAAGAAATAATGTCAACATTCATGTCCATATAATTCAAGAGCAATCTACTTTGCAAACTTACTTTAAATTTGACCATATAGAAGGCATCAGTCAATCGGTTCATAGTAGCATGTTCTTCTCCAACCTAAATGTTGAAAAGATCAGAGAAAGTAGAGGCAATTACAATACAGAGTAAGTTTATAATTTCTTCAGTCGGTGGCTTGTAGACTTCTGCTCTACCGACTATTCTTGAAAGCATTCAGTTTTTTAGAAACACTAAAAAAGGGGGAGGGGAGTCACAATCACACCTTCCCTTTTCTTTTCCCTGCGCCTGGAACGACTTTCTGAGGGCGGTGTGCCTAAAACGACACTAACTCATTCACTCATATTCCATTTGGGCAAACTCATGCTTTTGGCACGACTCTCTCTTAACCCAGTTCATGTCCCGGTTTTGTTCACCTGGGAAAAATAGGAGGAGAGAGCATTAGGTACCCTGCTTTGAGTTGTACCCAGCGGTGGGATTCAGCCGGTTCAGGCCAGTTTGGGCGAACCAGTTGTTAAATTGCTGGCTGCCCCACCCCCCCCCGCCTGCTCCTTCCAGGAGTCCCCACGTGCCCCGTTTTGGCTCTCAGGAGGCTGCAGGGAAGCCTACTAGGCTCAAAACAGGATGCGGAGGGGTGTGTGACCTCCGCGCGGCCCGTTTTTGCTCCCAGGGGGGATGCAGGAGGCCGAGTGCTGCCTGTCACGCCCCTTGGCCACACCCACCATGGCCACGCCCACCCAGCCAGTCATTAGGGCAGAGAACCAGTTGTTAAATTATTTGAATCCCACCACCGGTTGTACCCTACCGAAATGATGGAATATCAATCAAAACGCATCAATTATTTCGATAAAATAAGTAAATAAAATATCCTTTCAGACTTGATTGCCTCCTGGTGTACATTTTCAAGATTGACAGCCTGTTTATGTCTTCCCAGGGAGAAGCTCATAGCATTGCAGACCCTGTAGAAGACTCATGTTAACTGATCGGACCAAAAATTTCAGCAGGATCCTGGCAGCCCCCTTTTCCAACTAACAGATTTTATGAACAGTTGTGAGCTGCACTACACCTTTTAATACAAATTTGTTGGTTGGAAATGTGTTATTATCTGGGCTCTTCTGGATATCTAGCCTTGCGGTCGTCTATCCTTTTACACTGACCCCGTTCCCCTTTTGTGTTAAGCTATATGCTTCATGATGGTTTGCTGAAGAGAGTGCACTATTATTATTATTTTTTTACTTAATGCAAGACATAAGCCAGGATTTTCAAACCAGAAGGACAGACTTTACTTAACATATTTGGGGGGGGGAACCAATCACATGATGGCAAAGGAAAGGTGTGACCTCAAATGCTGTATATCTGGGGTGTCCAATTGTGGCAACTTTAAGTTCTATGGACTTCAATTCCAGAATTCTGGGAGTTGAAGTCCACAAGTCTTAAAGTTGCCAAGGTTGGACACCCTTGCTGTACAGCCTGTGTTGATGGGTGATAAGCATATGACACGTACAGGATGCTGAGGCTCTCACCTCTAAGAAAACCCCCATCACGGCAAGGCCATCTGGGGCAGCTACAGCTTCTCCAAACGTTGTATATTTCTTGGCATTCCAGTGAACTAAATGAAGCTTGGGAGGAGAACCAGACAACATCGTTATCCGAAACATAAACAGACAAGGTTTTATTCTTCCTATCTCTGACCACATCAAGCAGGTGAGCTGAACATATTGCTTTGTCCCAAAAAGAAAGTTGAATTTTTGGAAGGTCCAATAACATTGGCAGATAGTTGTATTTTTACCAGGTAAGTCATGGGAAAAATGCTAAGGAAACTCCAGCTTTAGAAAAGTTTTTAGAGAAGCCAACTCGCAATTCCCCAGCCAGAGAATCCTTTAACCATGGCGGTTGGGGAATCTTGGGAGTTGTCCACATGTCTTAAAGTCACCAGCCAGGGCTGAGAAACACTGCTCTAGATAGCTATATATGCAGTGGTGAAATCCAATTTTTTTTACTACTGGTTCTGTGGGCATGGCTTGGTGGGCGTGGTGTGGCTTGGTGGGCATGGCAGAGGCAGGATACTGCAAAATCTCCATTCCCTCTCCACTCCAGGGGAAGGATACTGCAAAATCTCCATTCCCACCCCACTCCAGGGGAAGGATACTGCAAAATCCCCATTCCCTCCCCTCTCCTGGGGGAAAGATATTGCAAAATCTCCATTCTCACCCCATTCTGGGGCCAGTCAGAGGTGGAATTTGCCAGTTCTCCGAACTACTCAAAATTTCTGCTACCTGTTCTCCAGAACCTGTCAGGACCTGCTGGATTTCACCCCTGCATATATGTGAATTAAATATATGAGCTTAGATCAGTGACTGCCACTAAATCTTTTTGTAGCCACTGGATTCACATAGAAGAAAAATAAAGGAACAAGAAGATTTGCAGGATATTAACATTTAATGGAAAAGGAAGTCCTAAAAAAACAAGATCCAAAAAGGATTCAGGAGGGAGAGGTCATATGACAACATAAATGCAGTTTGCTTACATTTGGCTTAATATATTAAGTGAATCTTAACTACTATAATTTCCAAACCATAGCTGATGAATATGCATGTGTGAACCCAGCCAATGGTCAATAAACCATGGTTAAACAAAGCAATAATGTGTCATGTGAAATTTTACTTGCGTGAAATTAACTTTGTTAAATTGGCTATTTGCTGTTTTTCACATTCTTGCTAAACAATGTATGATAAAGAACAAGCCTATAGGTCCATTTTTATATAGAACTATTAAAATAACTTTATTTTTAGGTGATTGTGTATCTATACCAGGCACAAAGCTTTGCTTTTAAAAATCTGGAGACCATTCAGCATTTTTTGGCTCATCTGAACAGATGCTCCATCTCCTTTATGCTTTGTTTTGTGCACAGCTTTGCTCTGTCAACGTTGATAACAACTCACCTCGCAAGGGAAAGATTTCCCATTAATGGTATGTTCGGATCCACACTTCTGGCTTGTCCCCCAGTGAAAATGGAATTGCTTCAGCCTATAAGGATTTTCCAAGGGGCCTCCACTGATAGCTGGAACCCAAAAAGGAAGCAGGGATTGATAGCTGTTCCGTTAGAGTAATAACTATCATGTATTCCTTTCTTCCCATCTTCATTGGCCAAAGGCAGACGACAAAAGGGCAGGTGCTGTAGTGATTAAGGTTAGAAACTGGGAGACCCTGAGTTCTAGTCAGGGGTGGGCTGCTGGGGGTTTGCAGGGGTTTGGGAGAACCTCTAGCTAAGATTCTGTGCAGTTCGGAGAACTCCCAAATCCCACTCCTGGCTAGCCCCGACCACCTGCCCTTCCCAGGAGTCCCCACGTGGCCCGTTTTGGATGCAGGTAAGTGCAGGCCTACCGGAAGTTTGAGAAGGCCGACCGTTTCTGGCCTCCAGAGGTCTTCTGGAGCCTGAGGAGGCAGTTTTTGCCCTCCCAGAAGCTCAAGAAAAGCCTCTGGAGCCTGGGGAGAGCAACAACGCTCCCGCTCATGATGCAGGAGGCCGACTAGGCCACGCCCACCATGGCCACGCCACCCAGCAACCGGGCAGAGAACCCCTTGCTAAAATTTTTGAAACCCACCCCTGGTTCTAGTCCCACAATGAGCACAAAATGAGTTGGGTGACCTTAGGCCAGTCCTTCTCATTCAGCCCTACAAAATGGGCAATATACTGTAAAACTACTTCCAAGATCTTGCCAGGAAAAATTGCAGGAACTAGCCCAGGGAGTCACCAGGAGTCAAAAAATGGACTTGAAAAAAACAAAACAGAAGTGAAAAACTAAAGGGATTACAATAAGAGAGTTTCTGTAACGGAAGACCAGACGGACACTTTCTAGATTTACAGTTTTATTTAGAAAACACAGCAGTGTACAGGCAGAAACAAAAATGGTCCTTTTTCAAAACGGTAGGTTTTGCCTCCAAAAATCCCAGAGAGTTCCATGTTGTAATGTGCATTCCTCTCGGTCTTAAACTCCAAAACTCCTTGACTGGCCCACATGTCAAATTAAGCCACTTTGCTGAACCAGAGTTTATTGACTATCTAACAATTGTCTAGTTTCACACCGCAGCCATAAATGTTGTCATGATTTCTTACTTTCTTTGGCAACAAACAGATGCGATAACACCCAGGGTCATCCACAGAAGCTCTGACTTCCAGATGCCCAATTCCAAAGTCCAAAATTATTTTAATTGCTGGGGTTGGAATGCACCGGCTGAAATCCGTGCAAAGTCATCCATTTTAGTGCCTTCAAGGGCACTAAGGTCTTAATGCTGTGCTGAGATCTGCAGTTTTTCCCCTTGCAAAAGAGGCTTTTGATGTATTAGCTCATTCTCAAGATGCTTGAGAATTCTGCGTATCAGTTCCATCTGAATGGCCCTAAAGATGGAATAAATTTCTGAATGATGGCTGGGATTCCAATTAATCTTGGAGCCGTAAGTGTTTCTTAGGTTCATTTTATGGTGGTCATAGATTATATCTTGTGTAGAAAGCTTGTGTGTGTGTGTGTGTGTGTGTGTGTGTGTGTGTGTGTGTGTGTTCAGGTTTTAAAAACCAATACACTCTGGCTCACCTGTTTTGTCATCTACATCCTTGAAATCCACCATAACGGAATGTCCATTGTTGGAGATACCAAGAGATGAATCCGATTCGTAGGAAATATTGAGAGGCTTCAAACTGGGGTCATAGATAGCTTGCATGGAGATGATATCAATTGGAGATTGACGGCTGCCTTGGGCAATGGGATAAGACTTATACCATAGAGAAGGTCCTTTGGGGAGAAAGAAAGAACAGCTAAGAGTGTCTTTTCAAAATCATGGAACTTGTTCCTCTTCCCCTACATGGTTGGAGTCCTCCTAGTCATTTAAAGTTGACGCGTTAGCAGAGAACTCTTTGGTTAAGGAGATCATGTTAGCAAAACACTGCAAGTTCAGAAGGTGGATTCTTAGCTTACAAAAGTTACAGCTGCAACTCCCGGCATTTCCTGTGAAAAGATTTGGAATTGGGGCAGGAGATATTAGGAGAGATTTATGGAGATCAGCTGCAGTCAGATGATGATAAACACCTACTTTTTTTTTTAATTGAAAAGTTTTATAAGAAATACAAACATTTTGGCAGTTCAAATAGGCTCAAGGTTGACTCAGCCTTCCATCCTTCCGAGGTGGGTAAAATGAGGACCCAGATTGTTGGGGGCAATGTGCTGACTCTATGAACAGCTTACAAGAGGGCTGTAAAGCACTGTAAAGCAGTATATAAGTCTAAGTGCTATAGCTATTGTTACCAACTAGGTCATACTCATCAATGCGGATGGTGATTTATGCCCTGATGATGTTACCTAGTTGGTTAATGAACTGTCTTAGGGGTCCTTGGTGGTGGTCTCTGAGCTTGGTTATTTTCTTGCAGACCTTTCATTACCCAAACCAGGTTAACGTCATCAGGGCTAGATCTTTCCCCCTTATCACTCAACTGGTCTGAGATAAACCACAAAGAACAAGTCCACGTGCAGAACTCAATAGTACTGATTGAAACCTGTCTTCAACCCTAGATCAGTATCCACAATTACCCCTGAAGGCATCAGATATAGTTACTCCTCCAACACCCTCTCGCCATCTCCTACCATCTCCTGCCTGAAGTAGTTGCCTTCTTAAGACTAATGGTATACATAGTCACTCCTAATGCTAAGGTAAGTCACTCCTCTTCCAGGCCAAACCACTTGGGGATGATTTGTTTCCGATGCCTTATTTTAAAAATATAACCTATTCCTTCATCAGCGTTGGAGCACCCGTTGTTCTATCGGCTTTTTTTCTCCGGTTTGCTTTTGCATACAGAATAATGTTTGATCAGCATTGCTTGCAAGCATCTTTTGAACGGGTTTCTGTATTTGGAAAAGCTGATAGAAAAAGGACCTCAGTTCAGCAAAAGTACTCAGAGGGACTACAACCTAGGAACATTGATTTCCTAATAATAAATTTTAATAATAAATGTAATAATAAATAAATTTTGTTTTCCTGAACAAAAACTCCAAACGTCCCCCAGACATTAGAAAAAAAATTATAAACCGGATAATATTTTGACCCAACGATAATGTAAAAGCTGCTTAAAAGTTAACCCTTTCGTTCCCTGTGGCATATTGCCCGATGGTCATGGGCTTGGGATGTAGGCATAAAGCCAAGCAGTACAATATAACTATATTGAGTGGAAGAAAAGATGGGATGCAGAAAAAAAAGAGAGAGAGAAAGAGAGAAGGAAAAAAGTTGTGCAAATCACCTACCATCTTTCTGGCTGTATCCCCAGCAGTTATGTCCTGTCATTATGTGGGTTGCTTCCTTCTGCCTGGCTGCCAGATCATTTAATCCAAGCGCATCAGCTTACCTGCCTTTATAACAGCTCACTTACAGGACAGTGTTCGGCTCTTAAAGAGACAGCAGCAAATTCTTCTCTTAAATCCACTTTGCACAACTTAGAATTTATAGGTGTACGAGTGGAAGGGGGGAGATAAACTACAGCATTTTTCCTTCATGTGCAGATTACAGATTGTCATTCTCCAGGTTAAGAGGCCGATCAACAAGGACAGCATAGGATACGGGAGACTTTGGTATGTGGTTGGGATATTTCTGCTCTGAAGACGTCTTATGGATGGGCTGATTACCTTAAGGTGATTAATAGTTCTGCTGAATTTAAAGCCAGTTGGAGAGCAGGAGCAAGGGATTTTTTTTTGTCATTGTTCAAAACACAGTTGGGATTCAAAACACAATTGTGCAAAACACACTGGAATCAGAATGGTGATTTCTGATTCCTTTGGGCTTATGGAATGAAAGGTTGGTGGATGTGACTTAGCCTGAGAAAACCATTTTTTGAATTTGCTAAACCTAAGCCAATATTTTGTATCATTTGAAAGGTTTTGTACTGTTTGCGCGTTTATTATAGACTTTATTATTATAGGACAGACTGCCATACACTAAATAAATACATTTATTATCGACTGAAACTTTCTGAACCACGGTCCATTTTATAATTTCACCTGGAATGATGGCATAATAAAAAAAAAACAGCTGTTTTAAATGTCAAAAGACTGCCGGATAACAGACCAGTATAAATCTACAATGGGATGGTTTTGGTTTTGCTTTAATGTGTAAGCCAGCCATTAATATTAAAGTCTCCCTTGCACTATAAATAGACTTGATGGGTCAGCATTACATGTACATCAAGACAACTGCATCTAATCAAAGTATGGATCAAATGCAAAATGCAAAGGTAGATTATATATTGCCTTTTGGACCTTCTGAATGGATGTTACATCTTGCAGGACATCTGTAAACTTTTCTGACTTATAGCATCTCCTAAAAACAAAGATGCTGGTCACCCTGCAAAGGTTTGTGTGTACGCATGTTTGTGTGTGTTCTGAGTGTGTGTATACATGTTTTATGAACTGAAGTCTCATCACTACTCCATTCAAGGACAAATTAGCCTCCACAGCAGTGGTGGGTTTCAAAAATTTTTACTACTCTGGGTGTGGCTTGGTGGGCGTGGCAGGGAAGGATACTGTAAAATCTCCATTCCGTCCCCAATCCAGGGAAAGGTTACTGCAAAATCCCCACTTCCTCCCAATCAACTGGGACTTAGGAGGTAGAGAATAGACGGGGGCGGGGCCAGTCAGAATTTTTACTTCCGGTTCTCCGAACTACTCAAAATTTACGCTACCGGTTCTCCAGAACTGGTCAGAACCTGCTGAAACCCATCTCTGCTCCACAGCACACACATAATACTGTCCTTGAACAAGAGCAATAATGTGAATTTAGTTCCTCCTGTTATTATCTCTTGGTGAAGAATAAGAAGTCATAAAACAATTTATCACTGGATTCGTTAATGAGAAACACCATTTCAATAATTCTGAAATATATGTGTGGGAACAGTGGTCTAGTTTGTGAAGCAATGTATATGTTTTTAGTCCAGAGATGTACAATATGAGCCTGTTTTGGCATGACTGCCATTGAACTATTAATGCAGTTTTTAATGGGACATAAAATACAAGATGAAAAAGCATTTTATTAACTGTAATATTAATAGCAATTATTAATACGCAGCTATCCTATTTTTTAAGTGCAGATGATAGGTTTCTCATAGTATCTGAACTCCAGCCCATGAAGTTGGCCAATCCCTGCTGCTGTGGTTGATTTAATAAACCATGGTTAAACATAGTTTGGTATAACATGCAGATTAAGAGTTACACAGGCTCATTGCTTTCAACAGGAGTGCAGTGGAAGAATTTTACCATGGTGTGATAAATATGCTACGCTTGAGAATTTTTTCTATGAGCATTTCTGAAATTGTTTTCTGTCTCTTTCTTTAGGTTACTCTGAAATTCATAATATTGTCTGAGCTACTGTAGGAAAATTCATTCCTGTTGCTTTCTAACAAAAGTTATATGAGCTGCTTTTTTATTATATACCTGAAATTATAGACAAATGTCACCCCCCAAATAAATGTTCTATTTAATTGCTGTTTATACTGCTTCCCCTATCAAGAATGATATTTTGAAGTAGAGCATAATATTTTAAAATTTATAATTATAAAAATGAGATACAATTACATCATAATTACAAATATAATTATAAACTATAATTATAAACAATTTCATTTAATTCCACAGTAATTCTGGAATTAACATCTCAAAATAGCATTCAAAGCATACACTTAAGGCTGGTTTTTTGTTTTTTGTTTTTTGATTTTATTTTATTTTTTAAATTTGATTTATATGCCGCCCTTCTCCGGAGACTCAGGGCGGCTTACAGTGCGTTAAGCAATAGCCTTCATCCTTTTGCATATTTATACAAAGTCTGCTTATTGCCCCCACAAACTGGGTCCTCAATTTACCTACCTTAGAAAGGATGGAAGGCTGAGTCAACCTTGAGCCTGGCAAGATTCGAACTTACTTTAATTGCAGACAGCTGGTGTTAAATTACAGTGCTTAGTCTGCAGAGCTATCCAGGCTCCTAGAGCTATCCAGGCTCCTGGGTTTGCCAATAAGCCATGGTTTGCCAATAACCATATGGTTTGGTTCATCCAACATACTAAGCCAAAACCAACAAAAATGCACAGTAGGCCTTTGTGTGATTCAGGAATCAAGTCAATTTAAGTTTGTTATAATGTTATCTGTATTTTATTAATTTGGCTTTTTTTCAGGTGACATTTTAAGAGTCACAAGTTTTTGTTTATACTTTACCATATCCTGTATGCATCTTGATGTCCATTAATTTGCTTGATCAAAAGTCTATTTGGACAGGAAAATTTGGGTTATAACAACATTCACCAAACAATCTGTTTCGGGAGGCATCAGTCTTTCCCCTTCCTTTATAATGCCTTGGTAAGGCCACACTTAGAATCCTGTATTCAGTTTTGGTTGCTACGATGTAAAAAAGATGTGGAGACTCTAGAAAGAGCACAGAGAAGAGCAGCAAAGATGATGAGGGGACTGGAGACTAAAACTTATGAAAAAAGGCTGCAGAAACTGGGTATGTCTAGTTTAATGAAAAGAAGGACTAGGGGAGACATGATAGCAGTGTTCCGATATCTCAGGGGCTGCCACAAAGAAGAGGGAGTCAAACTATTCTCCAAAGCACCTGAGGGCAGGACAAGAAGCAATGGGTGGAAACTAATCAAGTAGAGAAGCAACTTAGAACTAAGGAGAAATTCCCTGACAGTTAGAACAATTAATGAGTGGAACAACTTGCCTCCAGAAGTTGTGAATGCTCCAACACTGGAAGTTTTTAAGAAGATATTGGACAAACATTTGCCTGAAGTGGTGTAGGGTTTCCTGCCTAAGCAGGGGGTTGGACTAGAAGACCTCCAAGGTCCCTTCCAACTCTTGTTATTTTATTTTTCTTTGTTAAATGCATTTGGACCGAGCTTTCTTTGTTGTCAACGAAGTTTTGAGTTCTGATTCCATCAGAATCCAAGACTGGATACATATTGTCTCTACCTATGCCAGAGTAGTCTTGCTTTAGCAAGATGGCACCTTGGAAGCACACCTTCTCAGGAACCATCCCAGTCCTTTGGAATCACTTCCCACCTTTTTAGCCATTTGGTAATCATAACGTCATAAAGTTCTGGATTTTCCATCAAGCTTTGGGCTAGGATGGGGATTGAGCAGGGAGGCTGCCTGAAGGTGTGGTGTCTGGTGGGAAGGGTGGCTTTTCTGTTTTCGTTGGTTTTATTTATTTATTTGTCCAATTTATATGCCGCCCTTCTCCATAGACTCAGGGCGGCTTACAATGCATTATAGCAATAGCCTGCATACTTTTATGTATATACCTGCTTATTAGGGCTTTTCCCCCCCCCCAAGCGATGTTGTTCTATACAAAGCTGGCTTATTGCCCCCACAGTCCAGGTCCTCAATTTACCTACCTCAAAAGGATGGAAGGCTGAGTCAACCTTGAGCCTGGTGAGATTTGAACTCGCACTAATTGCAGGCAACTGGCAGCTAAGTGCTAGCACTTAACAGCACTTAGTCCGCTGCACCACTGAGGTTGTTGTGACCGTTCTAGAATCCTTATTGTGAGATCGGCGGCCATGTATGTTTTGTAAATAAATGAATAAAACAAGAATGGCTAAACACTCAAAGCTACCTTCCCTGACCAGATGTTCTGCAGATGTTTGGACTACCTTCAGGAGCCGGCATCAAATTCGGTTGGAAAGGCTGATATTAAGATCACGAATCATAAAACTTGTGATTCATCTGGCCTGGAGAAAACTACCATGAACAACGTGTTCCTTTTGATTTCATTCAGCGGAGTGCCAAATATTTAAATCTGCACAAAGAGGAAGAATGAATGCATGAAGGCAGAGAAAAGGGGCATCTGATAAGAGAGCTGAGAAAAGCGGAAGTGATTCCTTACTATCAATTTTTTATCCTCGATTATAAAAGATTATGACAATCATCTCATGCATTTTTGTTCTTCTGCTCAATCATGTCCAATTCTTCAAGACTGCCAGGACAAATCCCTGCAGTTTTCTTGGCAGCTTTTTCAGAAGTGGTTTGCCATTGTCTCTTTCCTGAGAGAGCGTGACCAGTCCAAGGTCACCCAGCATGTTGTGCTTAAGGCAGGACTAGAACTCCTGGTTTCTGATTTCTTGCCTGATGCCTTCACTACTACAACAAATTGGCTCTCCATGCCTATTTATCTAGGAATAAATCCAGTGAACTTCATGGGGCATGCCTCTATGATAGTAGGGTTAGCATGGAATAAACTTCTTCTGTCTACAGTATATTCTGCTAAAACTCTCACTATCTTTATCTACTTGTACCCTCAAGTTAGCCCAAATGGTGCA